GAGGTTTCTCCTGTCTGACACTGTTTCTTAGTAGGTAGCCTTTAGCTATACACATGGACTTATGTGGAGATATTGTATGTGTAATTTGTCATTAGGTTGTTTAATTAATATGATTCCCTCTCCTTTAAAAAAAAACTAGCTAGGTATTTTTTATCTCTCCTCTCTTTCTCCATATCTAACCCTTCTGCCATTGCTTCTCCATTTAAAGTGCTCCTGTTTTCTCCATTTCTCCTGTGCTAACACCTATCTCCTATCGTCCCATGTCTCTTGAGCTCCTTATTTCCCTTTATTGCCAAGGTTACATGTATAACCCTTTCTTCTCCCTCCCATTTAAATACTCCCATTTTCAGTCATTTCTCCCTTATAAATATCTGACTCCTACTCTTGTTCTTTCTCAGGTTCTTTCTTCCCCTTTATCTCGCTAGTTGCTTTTCATTATCGAGTTCCTACTGTTACATCTGGATACATACGCACATATAAGGATTTGGTGCTAGGATCCACACATGAGGGAGAACATATATCATTTTTTTTCTCTTAGTCTGTGTTACTTCACTTAGTATAACAGTTTCTAGCTCCAACCATTTACCTGCAAATGTCATGATTTCATCCTTCTTTACAGCTGAGTAGAATTCCTTTGTGTAAATGTACCACATTTTCATTATCCTCTTGTCAGTTGAGGGACACTTAGGTTGCATCCATGTCTTATATATTATCATTTAGATTTTTTCTTGGAAATGATTCTTTTAATAATTGTATTACATTTGTATGTGTACATATTATTTGCAAGTGTGTGGGTGCACATTTGGATGAGTGTACATGCAAACCTGTGCATGTATTTGTGAAGGCCAATTGTAGACTTTTGAATGGTTTCCTTCATCACCCACTGTATTTACTAAGACAAGATATATTCCTAAACATGAAGCTTCCTGATTCACTAATCTATCTAACATCTTGTTCTCAGAATGTCCTGTCTCCATTTTCTGGTCACTAAGATTGTAGACAGGTTATTTTGCCTGCTGGGCTTTTGTACTTGAATAATATGGATGCAAACACTGGCGGTTTTCAGACTCATAAGGTGAGTTTAAATCTACTGAACTATCTCCACAGTATCTAGAATTCATTCTTTAAAGTTGCTGCATTTAAAATGAAGCTAAGGTATTGGTTAAAAAGTAAAAATGTATAGAAGTATTTCTAAAGGCACTCATCAATATGAACTACAGTTCAAATATATATTAGACATTAGACAGGCTCTCCTTATAGTCCCAGGTGGCCTGGAACTCGCTATGCAAAACCATTCTGACCTCAAACTCACAGATTTCTGTCTGCCCTTGTCTCCTGAGTACTGAGACTAAAGATATGTACTGCCATGGCCCACTAAGTAAAATTTATTAGCAATAATTAGATATTAATGTTTTTATAAAATATTCTGGAAAATATAAGAACAAGAACACACTAAAATAGACTTCTTTGCTTTTGAGGATTGAGAAACTTTGGTTTGTAGTTATTGATTTATCTGACCATTCCCCTAGAGTTTCCAGTCTCTGCATGTTAAACCAGTAATAAAATAATGAACACCAGAATAAAGAATAATTCTAATGAATAACTATTATCAATCTACACAGAAAATAGATCCCAAATAAAATTACTGTCTTCAATAGATAATGACAGGATCTTACTGTTCTTTGTATGATGACTGCTTTCCTGGCAACTCAGTGTGGTCAACCACTGCCATTTTCAGAATACAGAAAAATTTTTCTGGCACTCATCACGACTAAGGGATCAGAACAATACATAGATAACTAAGTCTAAGTTGTGGCACTGGGGCTACTGATATGCCCACGTAGAAGGAAACAACAGAAGGTCATAGGCACCTAACCTGAGATTGTATCACAACCATCTAGTGTCTCCTTCTCTGCTGAATAACCAAAAGGCAATGGATTAGTTGATACTGCACAAGTTACAGTCCCAGTAAGTTATCACCAACCAGGCAGAGCACTTTAACTGTCTGAAGGTCACTCACACTCATAAAAGTAATCCCTCACTTTTATTCTATAATAAAACACATAAACTCATGGTTTTGCCCAGGTTTTTTATTTTTAATACTTTTGAGTTTTTGAGCATATCATACAATAATTCTTAATTAAATTTAGAACTCCCTCAACCATCCATGACCCCACATAATCCCCCCACTAGGCCTCATACATTCTGTCATATATTTGTACCCAGATGTCATATATTTGAACCTCTGGTCAAGCATTTGTACCCAGATGTCCACTAGAGTTTAGTCAGTCTATCTAGAGGTCTAAAGGATATGAACTCTCCCTAACCCAGTAGTAATTACTTTCCAAACATCCTGGGGTGGACTGGTTCACCTACTATTTCCCTGGCTCCACACTGGGCCCTTGTCTGATTGAATTGGCCTGGGTCTTGTTCACAAAGCGAACATTGTTGCAATTTCACATGAGCATGCTTCCAGTGGCCTGTAAACCTGTTTCATTGACCAGCCTTGTCTCTTACAAGCTTTCTGTCCCCTCTTCTGGAATGGTCCTGAATCATGAGTGTGTGAAGTTTAATATAAACACACCCTCTGCAGTTTCTTCTACTCTAAAACTTAGCCGGTTATGGACTTCTGTGTGTATGACACTCTGTTGTATTAAAAAAAGTTCACTGATAAGAGTTGAGGGGTGAGGAGTGCACTAGTATTCTTTCCACCTCTGTTCCACTGTGTCCATAAGCCCTAGATATAGAGGGTCCACTGTAGATATGTCACCTAGGACTGGGCACTTCTCAGATGTATATTATCTGTGTGTGACCAAATATGGAACTCTGTAAACATCACCATTTGTTGCAAAAAGAAGCTTCTCTGATTAGTGGTGCATGGTACACTTGTCTGTAAATATAAGGATCTATATTTAGCATATGGTAAGAAATTTCATTTGCTTTGAGATATGACAAAGAGTTTTCACTAAGATCTCTGACCTATCTATCCATGTATATTTGGCTATAATTAGGTTACCACCTATGAGTTTCCTTCTAGTGAGAGGATTTAAGTCCAATTAGATAGATTTTGCTCCCCCTCCCCATTCAGATAACAGTGCCACGCCTGCACCAATAGAGAAAGTTTGCTGTGCCAGTCATTGTGGTTATTAGGCTTTAGAATTGGGTTGGATGATGGATTGATTTTCTCCCTTGGCAGCTTGTGTAGTATCTTCTAGAACTATGAGAACTAGTGTTCAGGGATTTTGGCTTCCAGGTCAGTTCGGGCTCCATTGTTCCAAGTCCTGTGTTTGAATTATGTCCTTTCTTTAGCAGTAGGGTCTTACCTTTGAGTTCTAGGCAATAATGAAGGGCTCTGACAGCAATAGCCTGTGTTATTTCAGGAGTCTCTTGGACTACTCTGACCAACAACTTGAAAGGAGTTGTCTCCAGTCTGGCACTATGCTCCTTGCCATACAGTCCCCAGGTGTAAACCTGTACTAACGTTCAAACACCATATGTGTATTTCTAAGAGGATTCCAAAGCCAACACATTTCCCTCTGGCTTCCCATGCCAACCAAGTTCCATTCATCTCTCCTCTCCCCATACCCCATCTAACCTCCCTCCTCCTTCCCCAGTCCAAGCCACCCATTTTCCCTACTCTCCCTGCATGAGAAAACCCACCTCCCACCATCACAAATATCCTGAGTTCCATCTTCCCCCAACTCCTATGGTTTCCTACATGTCCCTCACCTCCCTGTCCAAGATAAACACTCCAACTTTTCCCACCTCTCCCAATACCCATAACATCTGTTCTCTACCATCCCCCTCTTTGAGGCTCTTTCTTTTCTTTTACCTCCATGCTCCCTTTCCAGGTTCGTTGGATCTTTCTGTTACATGAGGATATGTACTCTAATAAAAGGGATTGCTACTATGATCAGGAAATGAGGGAGAACATACAATGCTTGCTTTTCTGAGTCTGTTACTTTACTTAGTATAACAGTTTCTAGTTCCATTCATTAACTGCAAATTTCGCGATTTCATCTTTTCTTCCTGCTGAGTAGAACTCCATTGTGTAAATGTACTACATTTTCATCATCCAGCCATCAGCTGAAGGACATTTAAGTTGTTTTCCATTTCTTAGCTACTATAAAAAGAGCAGTAACAAAGAGGTATGTACAGGCATCTCTATAGTAGGATGAATCCTTTGGGTATATGCCAAGGAGTGTACAGCCTGATCATATGGTAGATTAATTTTTATCTTTTTGGGAGTTTTCCACACTGCTTTTCATAGTGGTTGCATGAGTTTCAATTCCCACCAGTAGTGAATGAGTGTTCCTCTTTCTCCACATCCTTCCCAGCATTTGATGTTTTTCTTCTCTTGATCTTAGCCAGTCTGCATTTGTGTAATCACATTTTAAGGTGATTCTTAGCCATGTTTATTTCTTCATTTGAGAACTCTCTGTTCAGATCCATAGCCCATTTGCACTGCTTTATTTTTTTAATTTCTTTGTTTTTTTGAGTTCTTTGTATATTCTGAATATTAGTCCTCTCTCAGATGTGTAGCAGATAGAGAGTTTCTCCCACTCAGTGGGTTTCCTCTTCATTTCTTTGGTTGTTTTTTTTCCCTGTACAGAAGTTTTGTAGCTTAATGAGGTTTTACTTTTTGATTGTTGGCCTTAATGTCTAAGCAACTAATGTCTGATATATAGTCTTTTCCTAAAACTATATCTTGTATGGTATTACCTAGGTTTTCTTCCAGCAGTTACAGAATTTCAGGTGTTTATTTGAGGTCTTCGTTTCATTTGGAGTTGACTTCTGTGCATTTTGAAAGATAAGGTTTCAATTTCATTTCGTAAGTGGAGATCTAGTTTTGCCAGAACCATTGTTGAAGATACATTCTTTTCTCCTTTGTGTTTTCCTGACACTTTTGTCAAATATCAAGTGACTGAAATTGCATGTAAGCACGACTGAGTTTTCTATTGTGTTCTATTGATCTATGTGTCTATTTTTGTCCCAGTACCATGTTTTTTTTTATGACTATAGGTCTGTAGTATAATCTGAGATCTGGTATGACAGTCCCCCCAGTTTTGCTTTTATACTGAAGATTACTTTGGAAATCTGGGGTGTTTTGTGATTCCCTATGAATTTTAGGAAGTTTTCTGTAGCTCTGTGAAGAATTTCATAGGTATCTTAACTGGCATTGCATTACCCAGTTTGATTCTGATGGAATTGTTTACCATGATCCCCCTTTCTTTTTTTAATTGATTTTCAAATTTTTCATACAATTTAGTTTGATAGTGTTGAGAATACTCTTCTCTATCCACACTTCACCTTACTATTCCAGTCCCAATTATGTGTAATCTCATACACATAATATGGCCTATAATGTGATCTGTATTCCCGAATGCTCTTCAGTGTGAGTCTATCCACTAGTCCCATTGAAGAGTTCTATCTCTGTGAGTCAGTGTCTTTCCTCCTCTCAGCAACCAAAAATGTCAAAAGTTCCTTAGGTTGTGTTGGTGTTTATTACCCAATTCCCCATGTCTATGCTGGGATTCTGCCTGGTTTGACCTTGCATAGAACTTGTGCATGCTGTCACCATGGCTGTGGGTTTATGTGAGTAACTGACTAGTTGTCTGGAAGACTGTTTCCTTGTGATCATACACAACCTCTGGATCTCACCATCTTTCCATTTGCTCTTTTTTAATAATATCTGAACCTTGGAAGGCAATTTTGAAATAGGTACCCTAAACAGTAATAAGCACTCTGAGACTTCTTGTTCTCTGCACATTGGAAAATTATAGCTTTCTGTTTTAAACACTACCTGCTGATTTAGGATAATTCTCTGGCAAATGGTGAGGGATGCATTCATCATATGTGTAGAGATTATATTGTAGATGTGTCACTTAAAAATAATTGTCACACAGACACTTATTTTCTATGTTGGGCCAGATTTGAAACTATATTTTTTCCATCTGTTTTAAAAAGAAGCTTCTTTGATAAGAGATGAAATATACACTTGTGTGTAAATATGAGGATGCATATTTAGAGTAGAAGAAGAAATTATGTTGGTCTATGAATGTGACAAAAAATAGGCTGTTCTCTAGGCTCTATAACATCTCCAGCCATGTGTGTTTGGCTTTGTTTACAATACCACTATTCATGCCCTCCCATTGGCCTTATTTCCAATTAGACAGCTGTTGTGTAGACCAAAATTACATATCTCAGTTCACGAATGACAGAAGATAAAACTTAAAGTACAGAAAATGCCAATTATTCACAAAGAATAGACACATATTTTGTAATTGTGTTCGTGAATATTGTAACATGTTGTAACTGCGTCAGAAGTCTAAAATTTGTTTAAGAATATTCAAAACATCTGTATAATAATTGAAACTGGGAAGCAAGTAAAACACTGTCAAAGATAAATTAAGCAAATCATGGCATATTCATTCAATAGAGTTCAATTCTGCAATGGCTGCACATGAATCAATGAGATGGACTCTTAAAATTAATCCTAGATCCTGATTATGAAGAATCCAGATGATAAAGATTTCACACTATTTGATGATGAACAATCCAATGTAAAAGTTTCCTTGTGGTAAGGGTAAGGGAATATGGAAATTATATCCACCAGTTACATGAGGCATGATTTCTGGATATTATGACTATTCTGTCTCTTGTTTGTGATTATGGTCTCAGAACTGTTCATAGCTGACATTCCTTTTAAATGTAAACCACATTAAACATATTTTAAATTTTATAATAAATTATGAGCCACTAAAAACCAATTGAATAAGTACATATTAAACCTGAAAACCTTCAAAGTGAAAGTATACCTTTAAAAAAAATAAAATGCATGTTTTGTGCCATGATAATTATTCTGTAGTAGAAACTTTTAATGCTAATTAAATGTAAACTTTTCACATTCTATCAGGCAAATTGGTTTTTTGATATTTTCTGAAATTTCTTTTGAAGATGAGTTGTACAATTAAATAAATGTTCATTTTTTGCTTCTAAGATCGATTTGTCTGAATTTAATAATTAATAAATGAATGCTCTAAGTAATGTTAACCTTCACATAGAGTCTGTAATGTCATCTTTGAAACAGAGAGGCCAGTCTAGAACCCAGGCTATTTATGAAGTCTGTGGAAAACTCTATCATAGATATCTGAGCAATTGATTGGATTAATTGTTTAAAATCCCTGAAAAAGAAATTTCAGAATTTTGTCATTTGGACTATAAAGACTATTATAAACTACAAGACTATTATAAACTTCAGCAGGGCTTAAAATTTGACCAGAATACATAGTGGCTCTGATTGCTGACGTATTCTTTAGATGAGACCAGGAATGAAAAGGAACACATTTAGCAGTGGACCCAAGAAGAAGATATGAAATTGTTAAGCAGATGTGACTGGGGGAGGGGACACAGAGAGGAGTTGGGGATGGTAATGGTGGATAGACGTATTTAAAATATATATAATGTGTGAATGAAATTCTCAAATAATTTTTAATGGACCCATGAAATAACAGAAGTTTCCCTGTATTCAATGTAAATTCCTTCAACCCTGTCTTCAGTGATAGCTGTGGATTTTCCAAGCAAAAACACATATGCAAACACAGGCACACATGTGCACAGCCATCAGTAATTGCCAAGAGATGTATGCTGATGAACAGAGAAGAGACAGATTGATCTAACCAAAGAAGAAAGTTTTGAGAATTCATCCAGGATCACTGCCAAACAGAAGCAGTCTTCTAGAAGGTAATTTAGTGACAGAAGTTGATCCCCAGGGTCATTATGCGTATTCCTATTTAAGAAGAGTTGATGTTTGAAACAAACATAGCTATTACAGAATGTGTGTGTCTTCCCGAGGATGAAAAGTGTTTATGAGGTTCTCGATTAATAATCAGCTACTCTTTCTTAGGCTCTTCATGCACATTTATCGATATAATAGATCAGCTACTCTTTCTTAGGCTCTTCATGCACATTTATCAAGGTAAGATATAATAGTACTATGTATATAATGTACTCAAGTACATTTGCAAATAGTAAAAGAGAGTAAAACACAAATCCTTGAACTGTAATTGAAAATGTATTATTTATCTAAATTTTATACTTTTTAGCTTTCATAATTATAAAAATTATCATCAGGTAGTCCTGAAGTAAATATTTTATAAATGAAAGTAAGATAAACTTGAAAACACTCACTAGTAGCATACAAAACTAGCAAAGAATGCTTGAATACAATTCATCATATCTTAACTCAACAGCATCAGTTGATTGGTCTAGGAAGTATGGGGTCATGAGATGTATGAAAAGATTACAAAACAGCCATTTGTTTTGGAAAGTTCAGAAACAAGCATATAAAAATGTAACTTCAGTCTACGATGATTATTTTACCTTAAATGATCTTAATATGAAGGGACATGAAAGCTTTTTTGTTTTAATTTGCTATTTAAGCACCTTAGTTTATTTTATTTACTTGTAGACCTTTGACAAAGGTTTTATTATCAAAAGAACAGATGAAGACGAGACAGTAGCGACAGAGCTTGAACTTTATAATCAAGAAATAATGATAAACCTTCAGGAACAACAAGAAATATGAAAAGTATTATAAGAATTGGATCATATTTTCAGATTATGTTTAGTTAATATTTAAATACAGTGAACAAGAAGGTTAAAAACATATTAAGATCCACAAGTTGGCAGCACCATCAAGCAGCCACCCACCAATCCCCCACCCCGTCCACCTGCAGAGGTTCACAAGAAGCCAAGTGTGGAGGAGGAGGAGGCAGCAGGGGCTGGAGGCACCAAGGTCAAACCCGTTCCTGTGACTGATGAGGCTGTGTGACCTTGGGGACTATCCACAGCTTGAGCTTGGGGTGGGGTTGGGGGAGTGTGGCTACCAGGGGGAGGTGATGCCCCCTGTAATAAACACTGAATGACTGGTGTACAAAAAAATATTAAGATCAGTATTGCTCCTATGCATTATGAGAGGTGTTCTGAGAGCAAACTTTGCATGCATATTTTCCTCAGTAACAAAGGAAAGTCTAAAGGAAAAGATTCATGGGAAAATTATCAAACTGAAGAAGTTAGAATGTTGCTACCAGTTCAGATAAAAAGATTAGCCCAGAATTTCAATAACAAAAAACCTGTGTAGAATTCCAACCAGGAGTGAAATTATGAAATATTTTCTGTAAGATGTTTCAAATGTAAGTGCTTGTGATAACCTTGGTTCCAATAAAGCAAAATTTAATGAAAAACTGTAAACCTGATTTACTACGTTGACTTTATCAGTTGACTACAGAAATTTCAAATCTCGCTGAATTGTAACAGGGCATGGTGCTAATTTAAGGTGTTATGAAGGTTTATTTGTTAAATAATAAAAGTAGAAATAATGAAATATCAAATGTGAATTTATTAATAATACTGAATTTAACATTTTCAGATGAACAGAGAACTAGAACAGAAAAATCAAATGACTCCACATTAATAGAATTCATTCTCCTGGGGTTTTCAGATATTTCTCGACACCAGGGGCTTCTATTTGGAATGTTTTTACTCATATATTTGACTATTCTGATGTGCAACAGCATTATAATTCTAATAACAAGAACTGACCCTGCTCTTCAGACACCGATGTATTTTTTCCTTAGCAACTTTTCTGTTGTAGAAATCTGTTATGTAACAGTCACTATCCCAAGGATGCTTGTGGACCTGTACAATCAAAAAGGAAATATCTCTATATCTGAATGTGCCACCCAAATGTGCTTTATCCTTATGCTTGGAGGCACAGAGTGCCTCCTACTAACAGCTATGTCCTATGACCGTTATGTGGCCATTTGCAATCCTCTGCACTATGCTTTAGTTATGAACCACAGAGTGTGTGTGCATCTGGTGGCTTCCTGCTGGCTCAGTGTCATTCCAGTCGTGATTGGACAAACTTACCAGATTTTCTCACTTCGCTTTTGTGGCTCTAACAGAATTAATCACTTCATCTGTGACATCCCTCCAGTGCTCAAACTTGCTTGTGGAAACACATTTATAAATGAGATAGCCGTCTATGTAGTTGCCATGGTGTTTGTCATGGTTCCCTTTGTGCTGATCATTGTTTCTTATGGCAAAATTATCTGCACCATTCTGAAACTGTCATCAGCCAAAGGGAAAGCCAAAGCCTTCTCCACCTGTTCCTCTCACCTGATAGTTGTAGTCCTGTTCTACGGAACAGCGAGTGTAACTTACTTACAACCCAAACCAGATCAATCAGAAAGCATTGGAAAGCTTTTGTCTCTTTTCTACACCATTTTGGTCCCACTCTTGAATCCCATTATATACACTCTGAGGAACCAGGACATCATGATGGCACTGAGAAAACTACTCAGTAAGATGCTAACATGAGGGAAAACCTTGAAATTACAAGAGTGTATAGTGTTTTATCATGTAGCTAAAACAACAAGAAGAACGTATTTAATTATTAAAATTGTGTTTCTATTTGTGTCTATATAAATGACTGCATATAAATGACTTCAGTATGTAAAACTGTCAGATATCATGGAACTGGAGTTGCAGGTGGTTGTGGGCGACCTGAATGTAGTTGTGGGAACTGAACTCAGGTCCTCCATAAGAGGCCTCTTAATTGCTGAATCATCTTTCCAGTCCTAAAAAATACTTTTCTTCTGATATTGTTCTTTAACACTAATTATGTTTATATCAACAACCCCCGCTATGCTAAATTACCATCATTTTACAAAGTTTAGTTATGTGCTTCTGTGTTCCCAGATTATAAGTTAAATAAATCATATGTTCCTGTTTTTAAGATCCTACTTTCCAGGGCTGGTTAACAACTATATTGAGAGGACTGCCTGTGCAGCCTCACTGCAGATAACTTAATTGGTTGTATAACAAGTAACTCTGGACATATTCTAAGGTAGATTTTTTTTAACCTTCACAATTCTCTATGTATTTACTTGAAACTGTAGCTAGATTTAGCTAATTAAAAGATAAAAAAATAACAATTATAGAGGAAGTATAAAAATAAATCAGTCAAGGATTGAGGAGTCAAGGGGACCTTATCCTTCACTGATGAATTATTTGTCACTGATAAGACAGGAAATGGAGGCTAATGCTTTCTGTTATGTACTGATCAGAGACCTCACCAGACTCCAGAAGATGGTCTGAATCTAATAGTCACATAGATGGCCCTGGTCAAACTAAATGAGTCACACAACAAAACCCAGATGTCCTGAATCCAGGAATGTATGTATGTATGTGTGTGTGTGAGAGAGAGAGGAGAGAGAGAGAGAGAGAGAGAGAGAGAGAGAGAGAGAGAGAGAGAGAGAGGAGGTGGGTCTGATAGTGGTAGGAGAGAAAGAAAAGCAAGTGGGGGAAGTGTGAACAGAAATGCTACGGACATGTATAGAAATGTCAGTGAGAACGTAACAAACTAACTCATAACATGTTAAAACTTAATCAAATTCAACATATAAATTCTTAGATTACTCTTAATTAGCCCTAGGTTGAAACCCTAGGGAAAGTGCATTTATTTTAATATAAGTTTTGATGCAATCTTAGCTTTGCAGTCACTGTAGTTATAACAAAACATACACAAAAAAATCAAAACAAAACAATAAATTGTGTTTCAAATATGTTAGTGCCAAATTTTCTTGGAGAAGTTCTTAGAAAAACAGAACTACTTATTCTGTGATGACTCGTAATAAAAAAGACAAGGCTAATATTCCCATTTCTAGAAAATGAATGAATGTATTTTCTCTCAATATATGGTTTTCTTAAACTGTGTCTTTATGTACAATATAAATCTAATATACAGAATGTGCAAATATGCAATGAAATTTATAAATCATGATGTTAAACACTGAAATATAACACACTACCTTATTGCTACGTTTTGTATGAATATATTAATATATACCTTTAAATATATAAATGAAAAACATCAAATATTCATATACAAACACAACTATATTGCTGAATCTGTTACAAAAAAACACATGGTATTCTAAGAAAATACTCTACACATAGATACATATAAACAATTGAAAAATAATAGATTCAAAATCCTAGTGGAAATTCATAACAATTTCAATCATTACCAATCCATGTTTTACAGTATATTTCTTAATACTTTTAGTTGATTTGAATTCAAGAAAAGATTATTTAAGTTTTTACATATATTCTGATATTTTAAACCTTAATATATTTTATAGGAAACATGAATCAATGTAAACAAGAAATATTTAATAGACACTTATTTATCTTAGTTTTAGATATTCAATCAAGCGCAAAACTTTATACTTAGAACAAAGAAGAGAAAAAAACGAACATATAACATGTAATACTTGTTTCAAAGTAGAGTGTTTTAGGCTTGTGAAAATCAAAATCTCTACCATACATAACAAATTTTGGAAAGATCAAGAATATTTTAGAAATGATTTTTCCTTTTTAAAAAATAATTTATTTTTTTTATGTGTATGAGTGTGTTGCCAGCACGTATGTGAGTGCACCCGTGTTGTGCAGTGGCAAAGAGGTTGAAGAGGGCATTGGATCTCCTGGTACTGGAGTTATAGATGGTATACCTGCTATGTGAGTGCTGGGACTCAAACTCAGGTCCTCTGCAAGAGTGGTCATTGCTCTTAACCCCTGAACCACCTTTCCAGCCTCTGGTATTGATTTTTCGGTGTAACAAAAACTTAAGATACACATCGATGGAACATGTGTTATTTATATATCCTTTGGGAACAGGACTGGTCTACATCAAAATTAGTATTACTTGAATGAGGAGATGAAATTCACAGTCTGTACAAGTTGAGAAAAGGGATACTCCTGCAGGCCACAGTGCAGAGAGGCAAAAGGAAAAGTGAAAGGACAGGCAAAACCAAGACGGGCTCGAAAAATTGAAGGATTAAATATTCTATGACTTTTAGCAGAAAATTAGGAAATGTTGGCTTCTCAAGTGTGTTTTTACTTCCACCAAAATCTACTGGAAAGGTGGGCAGAGTGCCTGGGAAAGAATGGAGTGAGAGCCAAGCAAAAGGGAAAGCCGCGATATATTACGGTGGTGAGCGGAGATCAAAGAGATCCTGCAATGAAAAGGGTTATTTTTATTTAAAAGGGCGTGAAATATTGGGTGCACAAATATTATGGATAACATTTAAGAATCTCATGCTGAGGGCTGGAGAGATGGCTCAGCGGTTAAGGACACTGATTATTCTCGCAGAACACCAGGGTTCGTAGTCCAGCACCCACATGGCAGCTAACAATTGCCCATAACTCCAGTTTCAGGGGCTCTGACAGCCTCTTCTGACCTCCGCAGGCATTGCATGACACGGGTGCACTCATCTACATACAGGCAATACATGCAAACACATAAGATAAAAATAAGAAATAAAATATAAAAAAAATCTCATGCTCTATTGAAAAAGCGGGCAAATCTCTTACTGACCCAATGTGTGTGTGTGTGTTATATATCAAATATATATTTATGGATTTGAAAGCTAGAACAACCATTAAAGGCTTAGAATCATAGCCAAAATATATATTTGTCATAGTTATATGTAGTAAAAGAGTTTTAAAAAGTAAACAGAAATAGGCGTAGAGATGTGAATTACTTTACACTGTATGGTTTTTATTTACATATTTTATTTTAGAACACTAAAACTCATGCTAAATATATAAACAGTTAATATTGTCATTCAAATCAAATCATCTATTTTGAAGCTTTCATATCTCTATTATAGATGAACTGAAAATAAAATTGATAGAGTTCTCTTTCATGCTGAGTCAAAGGCTAGTTCAGAATTTTTGTTAATAATTTACAAAGTAAATGCAAGATTCATCTTTGTAAAAGTATATTATAAGGAAAAATATGGCCTAGTATTTTTCTGTTTCTATGACAGCATGGTAAAAGATTCTTGCTTTATTAAAGGAAACTAAATGCATTTGTCTTTTAAAAATAAAATGATAATTTTTCTGTACCAATTACAAGCCAAATTTGTGTCCCTACATGTCCTTTGGTGTGAGTCCATCCACTGAAAACTGATCAACATAGTGTAGCTCTCTTAAAGAAAGCCAACTCTCCCTCTTCCAGTGGTTATTGGTTGCCAACAGTTCCTCAGCTAAAGTTGGGACATCTTACCCATTTCTATGTTGGGTTTTTGTCTGAATTTGCATGGGACTTTTGTATTCTGTCACCTTTGCTCTAAGTTCATATGAGCAACTTCCCAGTCGCCTGGACAATTATTTTCCTTGGTGATCATCTATCAACACTGGCTCTTACTGTCTTCAAAAATCCTTCACCCAATTTTGAAATGGTCCCTGCCCTCTGGGTGGCACAGTTTGATATAACTTGCAACAATGGTGACATCATGCACAAGTCCCATGCCAGCTCAGTAACTCAAAAACCCATCGTAGACTGAGGGAAAATGGGAGCTGGTCCCAAACCTAGTGGAAGAACTATTGCCAACTAATTACTACTGGGTGAGGGAGAATAGACTGTCTTTAAAGGAGAGACTCCAAATAGACTGGCTAGACTCCAGTGGATGAACTTGCACCAAGGGAATACTGGGTACAAATGCTTAACCAGATAGGACTTAACATACATAAAAGACTCATGAAATCTAGTGAGGAGGGATAAGGGAGCACAGAATGGGGAGGCAATCTAAATTTGATTAAAATGCATTATATGAAATGCGCAAAAACTAAATAAAAAGTTTTAAAGGTATCCTACACACAGACAGGCACTCTGCAGTCTCTTTCTCTCTACTTTGGCCCATTGTTGGCTTTCTGTGTTAATCACCATATGTTACAAGAGGAAGTTTCAGTGGTGAAAGTTGAGAGATTCCTTCTGTCCCCAGTTCTGCTATGCTCCTTGAGCCTTAGGTGTAGAGGATGTACTGCAGATGTGTCACTTAGGGCTGGATATCTCACAGATATTTATTCTATGTTTGACCAGTTGTGAACTCAGTCTCCATCTGTTCAAAATTAAGCTTCTTTGATGAGTGATGAGAGGTGTACTTGACTATAAGCATGCAGATATATATTTAGAATGCCCAGAAATAAGAAATTGTGTTAGTCTTGGTATGTGACAAAAACAGATTTTTTCCTAGGGTTTATGACCTCTAGGCGTTGTTTAAACTAACACACATGGGTTCCCTTACATGGAGTGGGCCTTAATTCCTATTAAACAACCATTAACTACTACTAAGAACAAAAGTGCCACTGCTCAACCAATAGATATAGTTTGCTGGGACAGTCATTGTTGTGTTTATTAGACATTGCAACTAGGTTAAGACCATTGATTGCTTGTCTCCCTTGGCATCATGCATAGTATCCTAATAATAGGAGAGTTAGTCTTCAGGGAGGAGGCTTTCAGGTCACTTCCA